CATCAACATCAACATCAACATCAAGCCCTCTTTGTTGCCATCTACTGATCATACATATCTTTGCAGGCTGGATTTGGGAGCCCTCAATTATTGCAAAAGCTCACAAAAGGGGGTGTGATGGAATAATCAGACTGTAAAGGGTAATTCAGATCTTTCTTGTATCCACTCCGACAGGCCTTGTGAAAGAAACAACCAATGGCTCAACGGCTTTGCAACCCTGGCTGGTGGGATTAACAGCTGCTATGGTCTTCTTGTTTGTGATGTTCGTGGCAAACCTCATCAATCGGATATTTTTCTCCAAAAAGTATGTCTCCTCTGGATTTCTTTCTTTAGGTTTTAAGGTCTCACATAACACAGAACTGGAACAACCACTGATTGACTGATTATGTGCCTTCAAATTAGCATCAGCTCTTAGCAAACACATTGATAGACCTTCTCCAGCAATAGCAGTAGCATTTAGACTTATATGTCGCTTCACAGTGCTTTACAGCCAATGGTGAGATCCTCCTGGTTTAACAACCGGTTTGGTGATTGCGTGATTTGCGCGCACCTGTGCCTGCACGCACATGCACAGTTTGAAAAAATCTTCAATTCCGGGTTTCTTCAGAGGAGTAACATAGCTGATTCGCGCCGCAATCTGCTCCGCCGCACGAATCTGCTGACAAGATAAAGGTAGGAAAATAGCGCAGGCGGGCGGGTGAGCCCATCTGATTGTCAGGATGAACTGGTTTGCTCCCAGTTGATCGTCGGAGCTACCGGTTCACCCGAACCGATCCGAACCAGTAGAATCCCACCCCTGTTTACAGCCCTCTCTAAGTGGTTTTACAAAGTCAGCCTATTTCCCCCAACAATCTGGGTCCTCATTTTACCCACCTCGGAAGGATGGAAGGCTGAGGCAACCTTGAGCCTGGTGAGATTTGAAGTGTCAAATTGCAGGCAGCCGGCAGTCAGCAGAAGTAGCCTGCAGTACTGCACTCTAACCACTGCATCACTGAGGCGTTAAAAGATCTGTCCCCCCCCCCCCCAACCAGGTCCTTCAGTACTTCTAATGCTGTGCCCATCAATGCTGCAGCTGAGCTGAATCCATCCACCTTCCACCCATGGAGAGGGGTGTACATCAAAAAAGCTAAGGTTAGGTTAGGTTAGGTTAGGTTAAGTTTATTTATAGGCCGCCC